CGCCCAGACTGGAGTGCAGCGGCCGCTCCCGGCCACCGCAGCCTCCACCTGCTGGGCTCCGGCGATCCTTCGCCTCAGCCTTCCAACTAGCTGGAACTACAGGTGCACGCTACCGCGCCCGGCTCATTTTTGATTTATTGTAGAGAAGAGGTCTTGCCAAGTTGCCCAGGAGGGTCTCGAACCCGGAGGCTCGGCAATCCACTCACCTCAGCCTCCCAAAGGCGCGGGATTACAGGCTGAGCCACCGAGCCCGGCGACATACTCTTAATAGAAGACATACTTCTGTTTCCCTTAGGGAACATTTAAGATGTGTCACAAAAAGTGAAACTACATGACATCTCTCTGGCCCTATATAGCTGAGGAACACTGCTTCCAGATCTGCGCTGACATCCATTGATGATATCAGGTCAAATATGCTTTGATATTAAAGACCTGTAGTTATGGTTTCCCAGTCGTCTCCTCTCGAATGGCACTCAGGACCCAAAACAATGTCTTCTTTCATCACTAACATTTCTCCCCGATGAGTACAGGTTATATATAGTCTCGTAGTGTGAACAGAGTACTAGGCTGGACTTTTCCTGCTAAAAGTCGGCCACAGTGGTAGCCTTTGAGATCTCATGCCTGAATCGAGGAACCAATAACTATAATACAATGGTCTTAACGCTGTATTTCCTCCTAAACCATTCTGCCCAGAGGCAAGCAATTGAACACATATAGCTACATAACTGAACACATACACGGACGAATGGAAGGGGAAAGAACAAGTCTTGCAGAATTCAGCTTACAGATGTAGATCTTCTCTCCCAAGCAGGTGAGCTTAATTGTAATGCCCTGAGTGAGAAAGTTTGGGCCTTTCATTTTATCTCAGAATAGTCCAATATTGACAATTTCTGGAAAGAATAAGTAATGCAATGCACAGTAAAACTGATTAATTTATTACTAGCTTATTATTATTATTATTATTATTTTCTTGAGTTGGAGCCTCACTCTGTCACCCAGACTGGAGTGCAGTGGCCGCTCCCGGCCACCACAGCCTCGACCTGCCGGGCTCCGGCGATCCTTCCGCCTCAGCCTTCCGAGTAGCTGGAACTACAGGCGTGCGCTACCACGCCCAGCTGATATTTTTTTAAGCTATATCTTTGGCCATAGAACCTCCAGGTTTTTTCTACGTCAAGCACTTTGTAACACCTCATTGTCACTTCATTCTTATGGGTATTTATTGCCCAGCTACAAGCAATTCATATCAGAGACATTCTCTGTCTTTTTTTTTTTTTGAGTTGCACGCTCACAGCCACCCCACTGTCGATCTGCTGGGTTCCAGAGATCCTTCCGCCTCAGCCTACCAAGTAGCTGGAACTACAGGCATGCACTACCACGCCTGGCTAATTTATTTTTAATTTTATTATAGAGACAAGGGCTCATCAAGTTGCCCAGGCTGGTCCCAAACCCACAGGCTCAGACAATCCACTCGCTTCGGCTTCCCAGAGTGCTGGCATTACAGGCTGAGCCACCAAGCCCAGTCAATTCTCTGTCTTCAATAAAGGCCTGCTAAGGGGGTCTACACATAAGAGTTGCCTTGGGACTTGCTTCATGTAGTTTTATTAAGAAAGAATTTAACATTTGCTTAGTAACCCAACAGGATCAGACATACAGGTTCTTACACACACACACACACACACACACACACACACACACACTTTGTTGGAATTAAGCATTTAATATATATTTTAAAATAATTACAAAGAATAACATTTGATTTTCAAAAACTACCCCTTTAAAAAAGGGCCACGTCAGCTGGGCTCGGTGGCTCAGCCTGTAATCCCACGCTTTGGGAGGCTGAGGTGAGTGGATTGCCTGAGCCCGCGGGTTCGAGACCTGCCTGGGCCACTTGGCGAAACCTCATCTCTACAATAAATCAAAAAATTAGCCGGGCGTGGTAGCTCGCGCCTGTAGTTCTGGCTACTTGGAAGGCTGAAGCAGAAGGATCGCCAGAGCCCAGCAGGTCGAGGCTGTGGTGGCCGGGATCGGCCACTGCACTCCAGTCTGGGCGACCGAGTGAGACTCCAACTCAAAAAATAAAATAAAATAAATAAAAAAGGGCCATGTCAAAAGACAAACAAGCCCTACCAGAAAGACCTCCCAATAGCCAAGCTATCTTGAACCACTGTACCCAGCCCAAGCTTTACATCAGTTGACAAGCTGAACATCAGTATCTCTGAAAGCTTCTTGACTGGGCATGGTGGTTCACACTTATAATCCCAGCACTTTGGGCAGCTCAGTGGGAGGATTCCTTGAGCCCAGGAGTTTGAGACCAGTCCGAGCAATATAGTGAGACCTCATCTCTAAAAAATAAACAAGAGCAGGCGCGGTGGTCCAAGCCTGTAATCCCAGCACTTTGGGAGGCGGAGGCAAGAGGATTGCCTGAGCTCTGGGGTTTGAGACCAGCCTTAGCCACACAGTGAGACCTCGTCTCTACAGTAAATTAAAAAATTAGCTGGGCATGGTGGCGCATGCCTATGGTTCCAGCCACTAGAAAGGCTGAAGTGGAAGGACCACCTGAGCCCAGCAGGTTGAGACTGCAGTAGCCGTAAGTGTGCCACTGCACTCCAGCCTGGGCAACAGAGGGAGACTCCGACACACACACAAATAAATAAAATATGAAAAATGAAATTTTGATAGAAGCTTGGAGTAGCTAAATGTGTAGATGGGATTAATGTATATGGCAGGAGCTATCCTTCACTCTCATCCCAAATTTGTCAATGTGTGTGATGGGGGCTGAGGGGGAGTCACTACGGACATCTCGTAAATAGAGAAGACTGCTGAGCATCCTGTAATGACCAAACAACAAATAATCCAGCCCAACATGTTGATACTGCCGAGGTTGAGAACCTGCCCTGTATGCATCTCATAGATCTGTATACATCTAAGAGATATATCTGTCTACATCTGTATAGGTCTGTATGCATCTAATAGACACTTACTGGGTGCCTACCATACCCCTCACACTATGCTCCACTTTCCAGATGACGCACTGTCTCCTCCGAGGCTTACATCATGTCAGGGAGGTGGAGGACAGGTGGACACATGAGCACTGTATGTGACATTCTATGTAAAGGCCACACTGCATACAAACAAGAACCAGAATCAATAGTCCAGATAAATGTCCCGGGTGGTCCAGAAAGGTTAAGAGATTTCTAGAATGGCTCCGTGTAGGAGACAGGCTTGACCCAGGTGATCTAGAAACGTAGAGAGATTTCTGGAATGGCTCCTCGCAGGAGTCAGGCTTGTCCGGGGAGGTCTAGAAAGGTAAAGAGATTTCTGGAATGGCTCCATGTAGAAGTCAGGCTTGTCCCAGGAGGTCTAGAAAGGTAGAGATTTCTAGAATGGCCATGTAGAACATGGGCTTGCAAAGGACCTTGATGAGTCCAGACCTTAGCTATTGGGGGTAGGAAGAGGGAGATGGGAGGAGCCAGCGCAGCTTGCTTTATAAGTACTGGGGCCTGGTCGGGCTCAGTGACTCAGCCTGTAATTCCAGCACTTTGGGAGACCAAGGCCAGTGGATTACCGGAGCCCGCGGGTTCGAGACCAGCCCGGGCATCTTGGTGAGACCTCGGCTCTACACTAAATAAAAAATTAGCTGGGTGTGGTAGCGTG